GCCAAGCCCCCCATTTCTTCCTGTCCTCCTGTTACTCCCTACCTGGTACAGCAGTGGCTGATGTGCTTGGTGTTGTCCCTTGCAGTAGCCCAAGGCCATGAGACTGTAACTCTTCATCAGTGCCTTAGTTACTTTCTATTTGTTTTATTTTTTAGAAACAGGATCTCACTATGTACTCCAGGCTGGCCTTGAACTCACTATGTAACCCAGACTGGCCTCCAGGTCACAGCAATTCTCCTGCCTCAGCCTCCCTAGTGCTAGGATTACAGGTGTGCAGCACCACACCTAGCTCCCTTTCATGTTTTATAGATGGGGAAACTAAGGCTGCAAAACCTCCCAGGCCCTCACAGCAGGGAAGCAGCAGAACTAGGTTTAGAGTCCAGCCCTCAGCCTCCACACCTGCAGATCCATGCTTAGGCTGTCTCAGTAACCTCTGGGGCAAGGAGCTTCCCACTGGGTCACAGAGAGATGGAGGGCCCTGCCTTCCTCTGGCATCATCTCATTGCGAGTACAAGCGAGAAAGTGCTTGATAGACCAGATCTGCTGACTACAGTGGCAGGGGCTGCAGAGTGGAAGAGGGTCAGAATCAGTGCCTGGGGCAGGAATGGGAAGGGCTGAGGCTGAGCTGGGGCAGGACTCCTGCAGGGGTCCTGCAGCTCCCCAGTGCTTCAATTTCCTGGAGAGTGCCAGGCTCCAACCAGTAATTCCTGTTGTTCCGCTGGATACCAGGGCCGTTCCTGGAAATGCTCCTTTCTGGCCTCAAGCTTCAGAGGGCTCTGGACACTGCTCAGAGCTGGAACACAGAGCCCCTCCCCATGGTAATTCAGTCCAGGCACAAGCAGAGGCACCAAAAAGGTAGTAATAAGCACTCTGGAGGAAAATAAAACCAGATAGAGGGAGAGGAAGCATGGGAAAGGAGTTGCTTCATAAATAAGGGTGGACAGAGGATGAGGCCTCTGAGTGCAGATGTGAAGGAGGTAGGATGTGCTGCTGGGGAGAGTACTCTGAGTGGAAGCCACAGCAAGAGCAAAGGCCCTGGGGTAGACAGAGCCTTTTAGGTTGGAGGGAAACAAAGCAGTGGGTGTGGCTGGTATATAGGGCTGGGGTGGAACAGCAAGAGGTCAGACAGGTGAGAGAGCTTTGGGCACAAGAGAAACAGAATCTGTTCTGTAAAATTTTCCAAAATTGTGCTGGCTGCTGAATGGAGCCTAGACTTGTCAGATTTGAGGAGGAAGATTTCACCTTCTTGCAGTTTGTCATGGAGTGATTCAGTCAGCATTGGTGGCACCCAGGACAGCCAGTAGGATGCAGGGCGTGTGAGGGGAAGGCGGTGGGTGCTGAGGAGCTGCCTCAACCTAGCAGGGGAACATAGGTGGAGAGGGTTGGGGAGGAAAGCGAGAGTTTGTTTCAGCCCCAGGCCACCTCTTGCAACACAGTGACAAACCCTTTCTCCCACTGTGACGACAGGGGCCTCAAGCAGCTGAAACAAGGAGGATAAAAGTTGGCATGTAGTAGAACAAGGCTAGCCTCAGCCCTACCCCACTGTGTGTTCATGCATTTCCCTAACAAATACTTACAAAGTCCCTGTCAGCTGCCAAGCAGGGTGCTGGGCCCTGCCAGCTTCCACCATAGCCAGGGAGGAGAGCAGATAAGAAATAAAAATTTGCTGGGTTGTGGTGAAGTTCACCTGTGATCCCAGCACTCAAGAGGCTGAGACAGGAAGATCTCTGTGAGTCCCAGTCCAACCTGGACCACAAAGTGAGACTCCATCTCAAAAAAAAACAAAAAACAAAAAAACCGAATGGGGCAACTCTGCAGTGCAGGACATGGCTCAGGTCACTTGATGGACTTAAGGAAATGGCCGCCTCCCCTGTGCAAATGGGACATGACCAGCCTGTGGGCAGGAGAGGCACCTGCACCTGCCTCTCTGGGGTCTGAGTCTCTGCCTGGCCAGGCCAGTGGAGGCCTGTCTAGGGTGATCATTTGCTTCTGACCCCCAGGAATCTGCTCTGTCAGGCTGTGGTTGCTGAGGTGGCCCCTTGGCCACCTGGCTTGGAGGGTTTGGTTTGGTCTCAGCCCCACAGGGACCCACAGGTCCCGTGTAAGCCCAGATCCTACAGAGTGATTTGGAGGAGGCCAGCGAGCTGGAAACAAAAGGAAATTAGCAGTTAGGTCAAAGCCGGCTGGTTGAAGCTTGCTAAGGTGAGCACAGCCAGGCTGTTTTCATGGATGGAGAGGAAAAACACAGGCGTGAGCCAGCAGGCCACTGTCGTGTGCTCTCCCCGCCAGCCCCGCCCAGGGCCCCAAAGCAGGGAGAGTCAGCTGGGTGGGGCCACCCGCCTGCCCCCGAGGGCCACTGTGGGGTGTAGGCTCCTGGAGCTTGCACAGCTGTGAGGGTGAGCAGACTGCACTGTTTTGGAAACTCTCCCCAGACAGAGGCTACGCAAGATGCCGCAGCCTGAAGGCAGCCTCTCCTGCCCACAGCCTCGTTCCTCCTGCCCTTGGCCCCATTCCAAAGCAGTCAGACACTGGGCAGGGAAACCCTGGCCCTCACCTTGGGTGCCCCCAGCCCAGCTGCCCTTGCAGGTTGTGAAGATATTTCAGGCCAAGTTGGCAAGCAGGTGGCACGGGTGAGTCACCTCAGTAAGCCAGGTGTGTAGCAGGGCTGGACCCAAGCAGGGAGCAGGCCAGGGGCTCTGGCCTCTTGCCCATGGCCATGCTACACCTGCTAGATCTAAACAGTGGGTGCCTCTGTGAGCCCCTGGCTCTGCCCCTGTGCTCCGCAACCTCCCCGCCTCAGGGCTGTGTGGATCCCTGAGGAGCCAGGCCCAGACCCCACCTGCTTCTGCCCAGCTACACCTCAGTGAGCTCAGGGGCTCTGCCAGGCTGTCCACACCTAGTGCATGGCTGTGGCCATGAGGAGGGTCTGTTGCAGCCCCAGGGGGTGCAGGTGGACCACATTCCCTCCTAGAGACAGTAAGCTTATCAAAAGGGTGGGCAGTTTCTTCAAAAACTAAATGGGGCCAGGTGTGGTGGTACATGCCTGTAATGCCAGCACTCTAGGAGGCTGAGGCAGGAAGATTACAAATTTGAGCCCAGCCTAAGCAATTTAGCAATTTAGCAAGACCTTGTATCAATACATACATACATAAAGTAATAAAAATAGAAAGGGTTGAGCTGGAGATTTAGCTCAGTGGCACTGCGCCTGCCTTGCAACCAAGTCCTGAGTTCGATCCCTGGTACCAGGCAAAAAAAAAGAAAGGGCTGGGATGTAGCTCCGTGATAGCTTGCTTAGCATGTACCAAGCCTTGGGTTCAATCCCCAGCACCACCAAAACCCCCACTTAATTGGAAGGCAGAGCAGTGAGTAGATTAAGTGCCACATTCTCCAGATGCTCTTGGGGCCCACATCGGGACAGGGGGCCCAGCTGAAGACATAGTTGAGACAGTCAGAGGAAATCAATCCCAGGTATCGGAGGGTAATGAGTTTTTGGTCACTTTGCTGGATGGGAGATGTCACTGTGGTCACAGCAGGGGCCATTCCTTTTCTGTCTTGTGCTCCATGGGCAGAGTGACTGGGGTTTGAATGGCTCTGAAGTCCTGAGGCAGGGAACGGTGTGGTGGGACAGGGGAGAGGCCGACTTGGGCATTGCCCTGGTGATGGACTTCTGGAACCAGATACAGTCTCTCCACATCCTGGACCAAGAATGCCACAGTGACAAGTTCGGTGCAGGCTGGCAAAGGAGGAGCAGCTTGGGTGGGCAGAGCTTGCTCAGTGATGGGGACCTTGCTCTGCCTCTTGTCCTTCAGGAAATAGATTAAAACCCTTGAGTCTTAAAAGACCTTTTTCTTCACTTTTCCTCCCTCCCTCCCTC